AGGCTGTCCTGGAACTCGCTTGGTAGTCCAGGCTGGTCTCGAACTCACAGAGATTCGCCTGCCTCTGCCTCCCGAGTGCTGGGATTAAAGGCGTGCGCCACCAACGCCCGGCAAATTTTAAATGCACACGGTGTTCTTTTTTTTTTTCTTTTTTTTTTGGTTTTTACCAGACAGGGTTTCTCTGTATTGTTTTCAAGGCTATCGGTCCAGCCCAGCCTCGAACTCACAGAGATCTGCCTGCCTCTGCCTCCCGAGTGCTAGGATTAAAGGCTTGCGCCACAATAAGCAAAGTCCTTAGGAAGGAAGAGAGGCTGTAAGTCAAGAGCTCATGTAGGGATCAGGTCTGGAGGAGTGAGGGCATATGGGAAACGTGTGGGCCTGGCCACTACAGTCATTGTTTACTAGGCCTAATGCAAAACAGGCAGGCAAGAGTGGATGGATTTTTTTTAAAGATAAGAATAAATGGATGTGGGGTGGCAGGGATTTCTTTTTTCCGTAATGATTTACTTGTTACTTTATGTGCATTGGGATTCACATGTATGTCTGTGTGAGGGTGTCAGATCCCCTGGAACTGGAGTTACAGACAGTTGTGAGCCGCCATGTAGGTGCTGGGAACTGAACCCAGGTCCACTGAGCCATCTCCAGCCCCCTTTTTGGATTTTCAATACAGGATGGGTTTCTCTGTGTATTCCTGACTGTTTTGGGACTCAACACTGTAGACAGGGATGGCCTTGAACTCAGAGATCCGCTTGCCTCTGCCTCCCGAGTGCTGGGATTAAAGGTGTGTGCCACCACTGCACGGCTTAAAAAAAGCCAAAAACAAAAAAGAACAAAAAAACTTGCTTAACCTTAAAATATGGTTAGAGGAGCCCTGTGTAGACACACGCCAGCCTGCCTAGGTTATATTGTTAGTTCAAGGCCAGTCTGGGCAACTTACTGGGAGCCTACCTCAAAAAAGTGAAAAGAGAAGCCAGGTGGGGTGATTAGAGGAGCCCAGTGGTGGTGGGGCACACCTTTAGTCCCAGCATATAGGAGGCAGAGGCAGGCAGATCTCTGAGTTCGAGGCCAGCCTGGTCTACAGAGTGAGTTCTCAAACAAACAAAGTAAAGAGGGTTGGGAATGTAGCTAGTCAGGAGAACACTTAACCAGCACTCCTAGGCTCGATGGCCAGCACCGTCACCAACACTGCCACAGCCATAAAAGTGGTTAGAATTGCCCATGAGTGCCAGGTATGGCTTACCCTTGTAATTCTTTTTTTTTTTTTTTTTTTTGGTTTTTTGAGACAGGGTTTCCCTGTATTGTTTTGTAGGCTGTCCTGAAACTCGTTCGGTAAACCAGGCTGGCCTTGGAACTCACAGAGATCCACCTGCCTCTGCCTCCTGAGTGCTGGGATTAAAGGCATGTGCTACCAACGCCCAATTTACACTTGTAATTCTTGGATAGTGACAGAAGGATCAGGAGTTCATGTGGCTACTAGCTTGGGCTATATAAGACCCTGTCTTTTTATTTATTTATTTATTTTTGGTTTTTCGAGACAGGGTTTCCCTGTATTGTTTTGGAGGCTATCCTGGAACTCACTCTGTAGACCAGGCTGGTCTCGAACTCACAGAGATCCGCCTGCCTCTGCCTCCCGAGTGCTGGGATTAAAGGCGTGTGCCACCAACGCCCAGCTAAGACCCTGTCTTCTAAAATTTTTTTTTAATTTTATGTGCATTGCTGTTTTGCTATGGGTGTCAGATCCCCTGGAACTGGAGTCACAGACACCTGTGAGCTGCCATGTGGGTGCTGGGAATTTAACCCTGGTCCTCTGGAAGAGCAGTCAGTGCTTGTAACCACTGACTCATCTCTCTAGCCCAAGACCCCCATCTTTTAAAAAAAATGATGTGAGCTAAAGCAAGGAGTATCCCCATATAATTCTAAACTTTGCCTTAGAAAAATAAGTGGATTCTTTGGTGCCTCAGTTTCCCTCATTGAATCTCTGCCTTCATACCATCTTTCTTTCCTATGAGATAATGTAAAGTCTTAAATGATTTTTTGGAAGATGTTTTTTCTTGTTTTGGTTTTTTCGAGACAGCATTTCTCTGTGGCTTCGGAGGCTGTCCTGGAACTAGCTCTTATAGACCAGGCTTGTCTCAAACTCACAGAGATCTGCCTGCCTCTGCCTTTGGAGTGCTGGGATTAAAGGTGTGTGCCACCAACACCCACCTGGCAGATTTTTTTTTTTTTTTTGGTTTTACGAGACAGGGTTTCTCTGATTGTTTTGGAGGCTGTCGGTCCAGCCCGGCCTCGAACTCACAGAGATCCGCCTGCCTCTGCCTCCCGAGTGCTGGGATTAAAGGCGTGCGCCACCACCGCCAGGCTCTGGCAGATTTTTTTTTTAAGACAAGGTTTTACTGTATAGCCATGACTGACCTAGAACCTGATATGTAGACCACGCTGGCCTTGAATTCAGAGATCTGCCTGCCCCGACCTCCTAAATGCTGGGATTAAAGGCCTGAGTCCTCTGTAGCCCAGGCTAGCCTTTAGTCACTATGTACCAAGAATAACCTCTAGAGTGCTGGGATTATAGGTGTGTACCACTACACATGGTTTACTGGTGCTAGAGATGGAACCAAAGGCTTCATTTACGTGAAGTAAGCACTCCACTAAACGAACATCTCCAGCCTTACCGAGGGCTCTTTCTTCTTTCCTTCTGTCTGTCTGTTTTTCTGCTATGGTTGAAATAGGATCTCATGTAGCTGAGACTGGCCTTGAACTCCTCATCCGCCAGCCTCTGGGATTATAGGCGGATATATACACTGCCACACCCAGCTAGGGCCTGAGAACAGTTCTGCTTGAGTAAAATTAATTAGAACCCATCTCCTTCCAAACTCCTGAGTGACGGCAGATGCTGCCTTTAGATCCTGCTTTGGCTGAAAGACTCCCGCTCAGAATGCCAAGTTATGAGTGCCAAGAAAGAAAAATGGCAGTTGGGAGTTTGTTTTTTCATGCCAGGCACAAAGTAGACCCTTTATGTGTGTGGATTTTCCTTCATAATGATCAAGGGAATAGCATGGGGGAGGCGGGAAAGGCTGGGAGGTGGGAAGGGGTCTACGCCTGTTCGGCTGGGCTTGGTCTTCACGTACACCTATGGGGTGGTTTTGTGGGCACAGCTGTGTGTCCAACCATTGTAGGGAAATAGAGTTGAGCAAGTTCATCTTCAGGTCTACCTATGTGTCTAGCTGAGGGACAGGTAAGGACATGGAGGAATGTGTAGCAATACCTGTTCTGGGTGGGGGAGACGGCTCAGCAGGTAAAGTCCTTGCTGTACAAGCCTGAGGGCCTGAGTTCAAATCTTCAGCACCCAAGTAAAAAGCCAGGCATGGCCACATGAACCTGTAGCCTCAGTGCTGTGGAAGACAGAGAGGAGAATTACTGTGGCTTGCTGGCTGCCGGCCAAGCTGTTAGTTCTGTGAGAAACCCTGTCTCAAAGGGACAAGGTGGAGAATGAACAGGACACGCAACATGGTCCTCTAGTTAACACAGGTGTGTGCAATTGCACATGCATGTGCACATATGCCACACAGACATGCCTTCCCTACTACCAACAGCCTTTTGGGGTATTCTGCTTCTCCATCTTCTTGTATAAGAAAGGGAAGAATACTGTGTCAGAGATAGGATTTCAAGTACAGGAGGAGCCTGGCGGTGGCGGCACATACTTTTAATGCCAGCGCTCGCTAGGCAGAGTCCGGTGAGTCTCTGAGTTCGAGGCCAGCCTGGACTACAGATAGAGAAACCCTGTCTCGAATCCCCGCCCCCAAACAAAACAAAACATATACAGGAACAAGATAGATAAAGATGGCTCAGTGGGTAAAGGCACTTGCCGCCAAGCCAGATGGCTGGTACTCTTCCGTCCTGGGACCTACATGGTGGGAGAACTGATCCCTACCAGTTGATTTCCAAATGCACGCACGCGCGCAAAAATTAAAACACTGCAGCAAAATCCGAGAAAAAGATATTGGAGGAATGAGACACGGTTCGGCAGACTGATAATTGTCACAGGTCCAGGAGGGAGCGCGTGGGCGTTTATTATCCTGGTTCCTCTACTTTGGGGGGCATGTCTGAAAATTTTCATGACCACCCACCCTCTTTTGGAAAAAGAGTGGGGAGATGCGTGTGTGTGTGTTTCCTCGTGAAGTTTCAGTGAAGAGCAGAGACGCTGTGAGAAATCACAGCCACTTTGGTAGCATTTACTAGGTAAAGTTTACGGGCTGCCAGGTACCCAGAACATGTCCGGCACGTCCCCGGCGACTCCCTTGGCGAGCCTGCAGACCAAGGGCAGCAGCAGAAGCCCACAAGTAAGGCAATCCCTGGACCCACCCCCCGCAGGCTCCTCCTCTGCTGCTCCGCCCTCCACGCCCCTCCTGCCGAGGAAGAGCAGGCCGGGTCCTGGCAGGTGTAGGGTTAAAGCGGCGGCGGCGGCGGCGGCGGCAGCGACGGCAGCGGCAGCAGCGGCGGCGGCGGCGGCAACTGTAGGCTGCGGCTGCGGCAGGCCTGGCTCGGGGCCAGCTGGCTGGCAGCCTCGGGAGGGAGGAGGGGGGAGGAAGAGGGGAGGAGGAGGAGAGGAGCAGTGAGCAGGCCCGAGAAGGCAGGACTTCCTGGTGTGGGGGTTGTCAACAGCCCCGAGAGAGAGAGAGAGAGAGAGAGAGAGAGAGAGAGAGAGAGAGAGAGAGCGGAGAGAGAGAGGGGCCGGGACCGAGATCGAGGCGAGCGGAGCCCAGGAGCCCAGACTTCCATCCAGTGGGGCCACGTGGGAGGAGCCGGGCGAGAGCCACCCGAGGGGACCCGGAGCCAGCGGGGGCTGCGCCGCCCCCTCCCGCAGCGCCCGCCGAGTCCCGCCGAGCGAGCGCTCCGAGCCCGTGCGGCGGGCGGCGCCGGAGCTCCGCCGGGGGAGCGCCGCTCTCTCCTCGGTGTCGGCTGCAAACTTTGCACGGAGATGCGGCGCGGAGCGAGGCGCGGGCGCCCGGGAGCGCTAGGTGGCCCTTGATCGCCGGCTGCCGCGGCCGGCGTTGCCCAGGGCCCCGAGAGGCCCTCGGAAGAAAAGACATCTTCGGCCCCCAGCTCCTGTCCCCGGCTCGGCTCGGCGGCCGAGGCCCGTGAGGTAGGTAGGACTCCCGTGCTGGGCGGGGCGCCCGGCTTGGCGGGCAGAGCCTCTCCAGCGATGGGCGAGCGGGATGGGGGTGGGGTGGGCGCCAGGCCCGGCCGAGCCCTTCCACGGGGCGGGCAGCCGGTTCTCCCCTTTGCCCCTGGCCTTGGAGACCCGTGTTAGGGACGACTCTGGGTTTCAAGCAAGAACTTTTGGGTCCCGGCTCGGGACTCGGTCCCGTCTGCCCTGGCCTGTCATCTCTTCTCCCCTCTGGGTCTTTCTTTTTTCCTCCCCACCCCCGGTCGGCTCCCCCGAGAGGAAGCCCAGGAGGTGGTGGTTTGGCCCCCTGCTTTTCGCTCACGTACACACACGCTCTCTCTCTTACTCTCTGTCTCCTCTTTTTTTTTTTTTTTTTTTTTTCCAGTTTGCAAGCTCAGCTCTGGGCTTAAGGCAGCGACAGCAGCAGGAAAAACCTGCCCCTGCCCCCCCACACCCCTACCCCAGCCCCCGCCCCGCCACCTCCCCTCCCCTGGACTCCAGGCACTAACCAGGCACCCCAGTTCCCACTAGGCCCTCCTGCCATGTCGGACCCAGACGTCCCCAGGGGCCCCGATGTCCCTGCCATGTGGCCCCCTTGTTCCAGAGGTGCCTGAGCCCCTCTTCAGGAGCCCAGCCCCTCCCCCACCCGAGCCTAGTCCGGGAGCCCCAGGGACCATGAGTGGTGGTAAGAAGAAAAGTAGTTTTCAGATCACCAGCGTCACCACGGACTATGAGGGCCCAGGAAGCCCAGGGGCTTCGGATCCCCCTGCCTCACCGGCTCCCGTTGGACCCCCGCCCCGCCTCCCCAATGGGGAACCCAACCCTGACTCAGGGGGCAGGGGCACCCCCCCGGAACGGCTCCCCGCCACCTGGAGCCCCTGCCTCCCGTTTCCGGGTGGTGAAGCTGCCCCAGGGCTTGGGAGAGCCTTATCGTCGAGGTCGGTGGACGTGCGTGGATGTTTACGAGAGAGACCTGGAGCCCCCAAGCTTCGGCCGGCTTCTGGAGGGAATTCGAGGGGCCTCAGGAGGCACCGGAGGCAGATCCTTGGATTCTAGGTTGGAGCTGGCCAGCTTGGGCATAAGCCCCCCAAACCCACCGCCAGGCCTGTCTCAGGGCCCCACCTCTTGGCTCCGCCCGCCCCCCACTTCCCCTGGACCACAGGCCCGCTCCTTCACAGGGGGGTTGGGCCAGCTGGCAGGGCCTGGTAAGGCCAAGGTGGAGACAGCCCCGCTGTCAGCCTCTCCACCCCAGCAACGCCCCCCGGGGCCTGGGACTGGAGATAGCGCCCAGCCCCTGCCCTCTCTGCGGGTGGACGCGGGGTCTGGGAGTTCAGCAGCCGGCACCCCTCCACTGTCGCGGAGAAGAGACGGCCCAGTTCGTCTGAGGATGGAGTTAGTCGGTCCAGACGACACAGGGAAGGTGAGCGACCCCGGGAAGGGGGTGGGGCTGAGACCTGCCCTCCCCTCTGTCACCTACTGCATAAAGTCCCTTTTTCCTTTCAGCAGTTTGGACTCTGAAAACCTTTTCTTTCCCAGCCTACCTAATATGTTTTGCGCGTCTCCCTCCCTCCCTCCTTCCTTCCTCTTCCCTTCCTCTCTCTGTCTCTGTCTCTCTCTGGACTTTAAATTGTTGCCCTCGGCCTTGACTGTTTTCATAAAGCCTGTGGCATATGTGGCCTGTGGGCTTCAGCCTTTACCTCCTCTGGCTCTGGCTGGGCCTGGGGGAGGAGCTGGCAGAGTTTTGGGGCTGCCATAAAAGGTAGGCAGGCACTCCTTAGGGTCTTCATTCTTCCCAGCAGCCCCGCCCACTTTCTGCCAAGCAGTTTCTCAGGGATTGGGGCTGGAGGCACACACCGCCCCTAGTCACCTGGGTACCCTGTACCCACTTCTTCAGGAGTGACAGATGGAGTGACCTCAGCAACCGGTGGGAGGTGGGGAGGCAGGAGGGAAGGGGTTAAATCCTGTTTCTGCTTCCTGTCTCCAAAAGAGGAAGCTGCCTGCAAGTCTGGGCTGGGGGCAGGATGCCTGGCTCCTGTGTGTGTGTGTGTGTGTGTGTGTGTGTGTGTGTGTGTGTGTGTGTGTGTGTGTGTGTTTGTAGGAGGTTGGGTTAGTGCTTAGGAATGGGAGAGTTGGATGTTTCTGCTGTGGAGAAAATAACACCTTGGCTGCCAGGAGGAGGCAGGGGTGTGAGGATGAAGGCTCTCTGTCCCTTCCTGGCCATGGGCGCAAACCACAGTGTAAAAATATCTTGAGCCTGAGCCCTGTTAGAACTGGTTAGGACCAGCTCTCCAACCCTCTCCTGGCCTCCAGCTTACCATTCCATGAGCTAAACTGCCTATATTTTGAAGTCACTTATTTATTTATTTGTCTCCTGGATAAACTGCCATTGCCTGGTCTTTGTCCCTAGACTCACCTAGGGCAAGTTTGTCAGTGGCTCTTTGCCCTACTTTTGTTACATTTATTTATTTAATTTTTTGTTTATGTGTGAGCGTGTGTGGGCACACGCATGCCCTGGTGTGCTTGTGGAGGTCAGAGGACAATTGGGGAGTCAGGTCAGTCCTTCCACCATGTAGGTCTGGCCGAGTGAGATCAAACTCAGGTTGTCCAACTTGGCAGCAAGCCCCCCATCTCCCTCAGCTGTCCTGGTGGCCCTCTTTACTTTTAAGCATGCCCGAGCCTCCCTTAGGTTTGTAGACCCTGCCTCTCTCCCCACGGTGTCCCCAACCCCCCTTCCTTCCTCCCTCCCAATCTGCCCTGATCATTTCCTGTGTGCTTGTAACTGTCGCTCTTTCTCTGCCTCAGAGGCTGACTCTCATTCAGCCCCATGGTCTCAGAAAGGCTGAGGGAGGCTGAGGAGGACGAGGGTGGGTGGTGGCTGTGTCCCCTTCCCCTGCTCTGCCCATCCCTCTGACTGCCTCTACTCTGTGGGCTCTCCTGAGGCGGAGCCTCTCAGGGGCTCACAGAGGTTCCTGTCACCTCCACCCTCCTACAGCTGCCCCCAGCTGCCGCTTGCTGGGTAATATAGCTCCTCCCCTGCCCCACCTTCCCCCTCCCGTTTTCACAAAGCTCCCCCCACCTCCCCAGAAAGGCAGAGTAGAGAATCTTTGAATTTCATCCATACTCCTAGAAGTTTGAGAGGAGAGGCCACCTCCAGGGTAGGGATGAGGAGAAGCGGTTTCTGAGGACTCATTCATTCTGCAGAGAGCCACAGAACACACTCACCTTGCAGCAGGGGAGACACAACAAATACTTTTAATTTTCAAATCGGTACTAGATGCTATAAAAAAAAAAAAAAAAAGAAACCGTCCAGTGGAGGAGCGAGCCGTGAGGAAGCGTGTCTTCAGGGACATTTGAGTGGCTTTAAGAAGGCTTGCGACTGGGGATGGTAGAAGCAGGAGGATGGCAAGTTCAAGGCCAGCATGGCCTACATAGCAAGTTCTGGGTCAGCTTGGGCTACAAAGTGAGATCCTGCCACAAAAAAGAAGGTGGGGGGAGGGGCTCTGAGGATGCAGCTGAGTTAGTTAGTGCAGGGCTTGTCTAAGCATGCGCAGAGCTTTGCAAGCTGACTGTGGTGGGACGGCCTGGAGCTCCAGCCTTGGGGAGACGGAGGCAGGGAGGCCAATCGGCAGGTAGTTCAGAGTCACCCTCACCTAGTTAGTTTGAGGCCAGCCTGTGCTATAGGAGATCTTATTTCAGAAACGGCAGTCACGGTTAAGAATGAGCGTCCTTTTTTGATACCCCTGCCTTGCCGAAACTTCCCCAGTACCGGCCTGTTGTTTCCAGTCTGGAGGAGGGGAGAGGTGGGAAGGGGAGGCAGCTACAAAGGGGAAATTGTAAGGTGGCGGGCTCCCCCCCAGTTACATCCGCGTCTCCCCTTCCCCCCAATTACATCCCTTTCTATTCCAGAGCTGGGGGGTGAAGCCCACTGTGCACCAGGCAGGCAGTCTGCCAGCTGAGCTGTGTCCGCAGCCTTCACCCCGCGTGACGATGGTTCCCTCTCCTCTGCCTCCAGGTGGCTCCCATCGACTCTCGCCCCAACTCCCCAGCCCTCTACTTCGATGCCAGCCTGGTCCACGCGTCTCCAGACCCCTTTGGAGCTGCCGCAGCCCAGAGTCTCAGCCTGGCTCGTTCCATGTTGGCCATCAGTGGTCACCTGGACAGTGACGACGATAGGTAGGTGGGCTCTTACCGGGTTGTGGAAGACATGGCGGTGATACCCAGTGTCACACCTGCACAGCTCTGCCTGCTATGTGTCCCTGTCCTCAGATGAATTTGGAAAAGGGACTTTGTAAACAGACCTAGCAGGGGTGTGATCACTGGGTGAGGTTCGCTTAGGACCCACTCCCTTTCTGTGGGGGAGCTGGGTGGGACTCCTTGCCTCAGGACTGTTAAGTCAGACTTTCGGAGTTAGAAGGGAGTCATTGTTGTCCATTTCAGAGCTCTTGCAGATCTAGAGGTCACTTGCCAGCCTTAGCAATCGAATAGAAAACGGGCCAGGCGGTGAGGGCGCACGCCTTTAGTCCTAGCAGAGGCAGGCAGATCTGTGACTTCAAGGCCAGCCTGGTCTACAGAGTGAGTTCTAGGACAGCCAGGGCCACATAATGAGATCCTGTCTCACAAAACAACAACAACAAAAAAATAGAAAGTGGGGGGGGCAGGGGAAGACAGCTGGGGATGTGGCTCACCAGGGAGAGTGCTTGGTTCCCATGCACAAGGCCTCGGGTTCAATCCCCCATGCCGCATAAACCCCCTGGGAAAAGGATGGTTTAGGATCCTCCAGGACTGTAACACGACATCCTTATAATTCACTCAGACTACTTTAGGGCCCAGAAATATCTAGTACCAAGCAAGGATTGCCTGACCCGTGTGGCTTGGTACACACTTGTGGTCTGAAATTCAGAAGGTGGGGGTAGGATTTAAAGTTCAAGGCCAACCTGGGCTGTATAGGGAGACGCTGTCTCAAGAATTGGTGGGAAGAGCTAAGTGTGGTATGGTAACTCAGGCCTGTAATCCCAGCACTGGGGAAGCTGAGGCAGGAGGACCGTCGTGGGTTTAAAAACAGCTTGGACAGGAGTGTGGTAGTGCAAGCCTTTAATTGCAATGATTGCGGGGAGTGAATCTCTGAGTTTGAGGCCGGCTTGGTCTACAGAGTGAGTTCTAGGATAGCCAGGGCTACACAGAAAAATCTGTCTCAACAAATAGAAAAAAACCCCAAATCAAAACAAATCAGCCTGGGCTACTTAGCGAATTCCAGTGCAACTTAAACTACAGAGTGTCACCCTGCCTAAACAAAGCAGAACAACAACAGATTGTGTGTTGGGGTCTGGGAATGTAGCTTAGTTGGTAGGGAGCTGGCCCAGGTTGGTAGGGCATGTTTTACAATCCCAACCCTGGGGTAGGGGTGCAGGCAGGAACATCAGAGCCTCAGGGTCATACTCAACTACATAACAACTCTAGGGTCCAGGCTAGGATGTGTGAAACCATGCCCAAGAAAAGGAAAGAAAGAGGGGTGGGGAGGAAGAAGGAATTCATTTACGGTTCGTTCCCCTGGGAGGGTGTGACCAACAGGCCTAGGAGGGGCGCGGGGACCAAGGCCCCCAGCGATGCCCCGGGCGAAGGGGCAGCACGGAGAAGGACAGCTGTGCTGGCCTTTGGAACGGGGGTGAATGCCTCATCTGGTGGCAGACTTTTGCTTTAAATAGTCATAGAAATGCTGGCCAGGAGCTGGGGAGAAGAGCTAGCAGGCCTCCAGTTCTATGGAGGGAGAGGTGGCACTTCCTGTTGGAAGCCCTTGCAGGGAGGGACTTCCTGTTGGAAAGGAAATGAGTGGTACTGAGTGGGGTGTCTCCGGGAGACCTACTGCAGGCGCAGATCTTTCCTTCTCGGGGGCTACCACCCACGCACGCACGCACGCTCTGGAACCAGACCCAGGCCCACAAAAGGAAAGAGTCCCGAGGCTTAGTGAGAGTTGGGACCTTAAGGGAAAGGAGAAAGGGGGTGGCCTGGAATACGTGAACCCGAGGACACGGGCCGGTGCTAAGCCGGGCAGGGCAGGGTGGCTTCTCTACTGCCTTCCAGCTGGCTCTCAGGAATGTGTGAGGTGTGAGGTCAGCCAGGGCCAGAGAGTCACCTGCCCCCATCTGATGCTATTCTCAGCCTCGCCCCCTTCCCCCCATTTGGGAAGTCCCCTGGCAAAAAAGGTTCCATGTCCCTCTACCCCTTTTCCAGCCTCCAGCTTTCTCTCATAAAGGGTTCTAGCTGCCTCCGTAGCACCGTTCTCTTGACTGGTCCCCTCCTCCCTCTCTGTCCCACCCCCTCTGCACGCCCTAGTCTGACCGGTTGCTCCCGGCCTCCATATTAGTCTTCCAGCCTTGAAGGCTCTGGGGCTTTGGCCCAACCCAGCCCCTCATGCCTCACCCTGCTGGGCCAGCGGGTTTGGGTTGGGCCAGGCCATCCTTTACCCCCTAGGAATGGGGCGGGGAGACCCCACCTCACGTGTCTGGTGGGTCTCCTGGAGCTAGAAGGAGACCAGGGTTCCTTGTGGCGTGAGATTTCCCTTCTGAGAGGGGAAATGGGTTGTGCTAAGTACCAGGGTACCAAGGTGAGCTGGGGGTGCCTTCGCCGTGTTTGGGATGGGAATATAGGGTGCTGGCGAATTCAGACTGCTTCTGGTCGGAAGATCAGTGATCCCATACAGGGCGGGAGAGGCTAGTGTTCAAGGCTGTATAGGAGATGAAGCCCAGAGACTTGAGGCAGAAAAAACACACCGCTGTGTTGTCTGTTTTCCTTTGGGTCCAGTGCTTGTCTTTTGTTTGTTTCTTCTTTTGCTTTGTTTTTAGTGTTTGTGGTTCTGGAGATTGAGGACCTCATAGACTACCACTAAGCTACACGCCAAAGCCCCACAGTACCCCTTTTCTTGAGTTTTTGCTTCTTATTTTTAGACAGGGTCTCCTAAGTTGCCGAGGCAGGCCTTGAACCTTCCGTCGTCCTCTTACCTCAGCCTCCTGAGCAGCTGAGATGACAGGCGTGCCCCCCCAGGCCCCCCAGTGCTACTCTTCCGTATGTGTACATTCGTGCGTTCATTTGCGTGCATGTGAGTGTGTGTGTGTGTGTGTATGCATGCATGCATGTGTGCGTGTGGTTTCTCCTTGGCCTGTGTCCCCCCAAAGTTGAGATTATAACCATGTGCCACTACCCCTGGTTTTTGTTGTTGTTTTTGTAACTTGAGTCCTGGGGATCTTTTTCATGTATTTATTTGTGAATGTGTATGTGTACATACATGTTAGCATGTGTGTGCCCCCACTGTGGAGGTGGAGGTCAAAGGTCAGAGAACAGTTTGTGGGAGTCTGTTTTCTCCTTCCACCCCCTAGGTCCTGATGGTCCAACTCGGCCATTATGCTCTGTGGGAACGAACGCCTTTACCTCCCCATCCAGCCATCTGGATGACCCGCCACATGCTTACCTCATGAACTGTAAACGCAATCCCACAATTCCTCACTTTCCAGATGAGGAGTAATGTGACTGGAGAGAACAGGGTTTTACAAGGCTGTTCAAGGTGGCAGTCAGTCAGTGAGCCTGGGTCTCTTCCGCTGGAGGAACAGGAGGTGGTGGTGGTCCTCCGGAGGCCCTTTGGCTAAGACAGGCAGCTTGGACGGGCCAGGGAGCCAGCCCCTCCCCCTCCCTGGCCCAGACCTGCCCTGCCTACCCCCAGAGACACCACATCGCCATATCTGGGAGAGAGTGTAGACAGGGTGGCTGGGTACCACTTACTTGGCTTCGGGCCCAGCCTCTGAATGCTCCCAGAACGTATGTGGGGAGCTAAGCCAACCAGTATACCCAGGATCAGAACGTCCCCAACTCTTGACAGACATGTCACCCTCTGGTTCTCACTTGACCTTCGGAGGCAAAGACCAGCCTCAAGAGATGCCCTCTTCCCGAGGGTCCTGTAAGCTGGCTGTCTTCAGTTACGTAGTGCACCGGGCAGCCCCCAGGGGGCGCCATTTCCTCTTGAAGTTATGGCCTGGCCCATGTGGCAGTAAACGTCTTGGGAAAAGGCTATTTTATTCTCATTCACTCAAAGCTATGTAGGGGCTTGTGGGACTTTCCCTTCCTGCTCCCAGCCTTGTCCAGGAAGTCCAGAGTAGCGCTTCCCAGCCCCTCGCCAGAGCCCTCATCCCTCCCAGCTGTTAGGGCGAGGACGGCATAGAGGAGCACTTTCACAAAGTCCTGAGCCAGACAAACATAAGATAGCCATCAATCAGCCAACAAATGGTGGCTGTTGTATTATTCTTTTATTTCTGGCAAGGGTGGAAGATTTAATTTGGCATCTCTGCCTGAGCGTCCGCCAAGCAGGGCTGACACTTCTATTCTGGTTCATCTGTCCGTCTTTGGATCTCTGTATTGGAAGAAGGGGGTTGGGTGTTTAATTCCGGAGCCGACTCTCCTCCCAGGTACTGACTGAAGCGGCTTGAAGACAGACTTGACTGGCTAGTTGGGACTCCCGCCTCCTCCCTCTCTCTCTCCCTCCCTCTCTCTCTGTCTCTCTGTGTCTCTCTCTCCCTCTCTGTCTCTCTCTCTTTCCGTGTGTGCGTGTGTGTGCGTGTGTGCGTGTGTGTGTGAGTGCATGTGTGTGTGTGTGAGAGTGCTCTCTCCCAAGTGCACACTTGTGAGTATGTATGCTTGCATACTCCTGGGTGTCCAAGTGCAACGTGGCAGGCTCGTGGAGATCAGCGGACAACCTGGGGAAGTCTGTTCTTGTTTTCCACCATCTGGGAGTGGGACTCGGGTGTCAGGATCAGTGGCAAGAGCCTTTGCCCAGAGCCCCTTGCCGTCCCCCCTTCCATCACGTGTGCTCTGTGTCTGTGGGGCCTGGTGGTACCCTTACTCACTAATGCTCTGCTCTTCCTAGCCCGGTCACCCCGGGCTGTCCTGTCAACACCTCCTGCCCTCAGAGCTTGGCCGGGACGTGGAAAATCCCCAGCTCCCTTTCTGACAGCAGGGCCCCATGCAAGGGTCACCTTGCCCTTAGCATGGATCCCCCTGTAGGGAAGCAGCTCGGAGCTGACGCCAGTGTGGGAGGGACTAAAGAGAGCCGGAGATCTACCAACGAAGCAAACTGGCACCCTGGTTCTGGGCGGGAACAGGGCTGAGACTCCTGCGTCCCAGGGGAGGCAGAAGGGAGGCTTAGGTAACTGGACAAGAGCCTGACTTCCCCCTCTCTGGGGGCCAAAGAGGAGACATTGGAGGCTGGAGCAGGGCAAGGGGACCCTAGTAAGTCCTGGTGACCAGAGGGGCTTGAGCGCCCTGTCCTGGTGCCAGTCAGGAGCCTGAGCCCTGGGGCGGTTGAGCCAGGCATGAGTTGCCCTCTGGTGGCCACTGAACAAACTGCAGCCAGGCCTAACGACTGGCTGCCCTGCTGTCCCGTGTCCCGTGCCCAACCTCACCCTTTCATTTCGTTTTTTCCCTTTTCTTAAGCCCTGACCCATCCCAAGACCTCCACATCCAAGTCTCAGATCCTGTCCAGGCTGCCTTTCATTTACAGGCTTCCTAGCGTGGGGGTGGGGGGAGGTGTGTGTTTCTATTGCTGTGGAAGCCGCCCCTAATTCTTTCCTTCACTGAAGGAAGTGGGGGGCCCTCTGTCCCGGGTTGCAAGAACCGCCTGGGATGTATACATTTTGGATTTGGTGGGGTGTGCTCATGAATGCATCCCCACCCCTGTCGTCTGTTCCCTTTCGCTGAGGGGGGCTGTGGTTAATGCAGACAGGACAGAAAGGAAGGTGTAGGTGGGGGACAGGCCCCCTAGGCGCTCACCTTCAAGCCCCGCCCCAGGCCCCTGCTGCCCAGGCTTACAGCTGACTTCACCTCCCCTTCCCCTCCAGCCTGGGCGCGGTGCCAGGCTGAGAAGGGACAGACCGTGTGTGTCTGGGAATTCCCGCCCACTGTGGAGCCAGGGGAGGGGGTCCCCGTGTCCCCGAGGAACCAATAGCAGCTGCGCCTTGCCCTGAGGGGGAGGGCAGGGTGTATATCTCTCAGGCCAGCACTCCTCTCTGCCCGCCTGGTATCCACAGAAGGCGACTCTGCCCAGGGGGGCTCTGAGCCCCCCAGGCATTCCCTCTGACGTAGCCCTTTGATTGGGAGTGGATACTTCTGATCCTTACCTCAGGAATGTCCCAGCCAGGGGTCTCTGTGAAGTCCTTGGTGTCATCCTATGAGACTCGGGTGGTGGGGGGGGCACCCCGGAAAAGGGGCTGTGTGTCTTCCCCGTGCTCCCCACGGGGGTCATCCCCCATCCGGGGGCCAGTGGGGCCTCCTCCCCACCAGGGCCCGGGGGGCCCTGGGCAGCGACCTCCATCCCACCGGGGGATGGACAAAAGCCTCCTGCCTCTGATTCTCTGCTGTCACAGGTACCGTGGGTGCCGTGGGGTGCAGGCTGGGTTTTTAGAGCCGGGAGCACCTGGAAGGCAGAGGCAGAGCTGACTTGGGGCTCCCCCTCCTCACTTGTATCTCCCCGTGTCTCTCCAGTGGTTCCGGAAGCCTGGTTGGCATTGACAACAAGATTGAGCAAGCCATGGTAAGGAAGACTTTTGGGTCCCGGGGACCCCTCTGTCCGCCTGTCTTCTCCATTACTCGGGAGTACAGGCTCCCCACCCCCACCTCCCCTGCAGCTTTTGTCTCCCTGAGCCTGTGTGGGAGTCCTGTCCCCACCCTGTGACCCTGTGCTCTCCCTGTGCTGCTGCTCCTGTATCCTCGGGCGAAGGGGGCGGGGCGTCTCATGACGACTCCCTCGAGGGGGCCTGGGGTGCTGACGTCTGCTCGTCCCTGGGGTCCAGGACTTGGTGAAGTCCCACCTCATGTTTGCCGTGCGAGAAGAGGTAGAGGTCCTGAAGGAGCAGATCCGGGACCTGGCCGAGCGGAACGCGGCGCTGGAACAGGAGAACGGTCTGCTGCGCGCCCTGGCCAGCCCCGAGCAGCTGGCCCAGCTGCCGTCCTCGGCGCTTGCACGGCTCGGGCCCTCTGCGCCCAACGGGCCTTCCATCTGAAGCTCCTTTCCCTCACAATGTGCCTTTGGGGGCTGCCGCCCGCCCCCTTTCCTATGTAGCTTTAATACCCACACCCAACCCCGGCGCCCGGGGTGGGGGTTGAAGGCTCAACATTGGCCTGTCCCTTCCCACCTGGTCTCCCCCAGAGTCCCTAGGCCTTTTGGGAAGAGGGAAAACTCAGGAGGGGGTACTTATCTGAAGCCCCTCATCCATGAAAGAAACCAGCCCCACCTCCTTCCCTGGGTTTCAGGGTTCTGGGGCCCCCTGGCCCCGGCCAGCAGTAGATGGCCTGGAAAGATTTGGAGGTGACCTGGCAGGCCCCACCCTGCGCCCCCTCTCCTCTGCCCAGGGGAGGGTGTACGGACAGTGTGTTCAACTTCTGGGATTCAGGTTGTTGTTAAAATAATAATTATTAAAAAAATTCTGAAGAAACTTGAATATGGAGGTTGCTGTGGTGTGACTTGTGTTCAGACCTGCCCCTCCCCCCACCCCAAAAGCACACCCCAAAAGTACACACACACACAGTTTCCCTGAAGCTCCCAGGTCCTCACTGAACTAGGCAGCTGAAAATGGTCTGGGGAATGGTCCTGGTCCCTGGAAAGGCCTGGCAGGCTGGCCTAAGGGAAGAGGTAGGGGGCGGTGTCTACCCACGTGCTGGTGGTTGGCCGTGTGAGGGGAGATGACAATGGAGTCTTTGGTGAGTGTGAGGATCCACCCCCAGCTTCCCAGTGTGTCCCCTCTTGTGGGCTGGATCCGGGTGGCGGCTTGGAGGCAGGGCAGGGAACCCTGAATGGGCCCCTTGTCTTCAGGCTGGGTGTGGGCCAGGCTCTCTGGGCACATGGTGCCCTCGCCAGGCCTGGCAGTCCGCCTGGGCTTTCACCCCACCCCTGGCTGGATGCTCACCCCAGTGGGTGAGCAGGCTCCTCCTGGACGGACAGTCTGGGCTTCTACCCGAGACAGGGAGGCAACCACGGAGAGGACCTCATCTAGTGGCGAAAACGGCAATAGCAGTTAGAGCCTAGGGAGAATGTCTTGTCACTGGGGATGCAGGAGGAGCACTTAGGTCCTTGGCAGCTCAACAGGATTGGACCCCATATCTTCTTTCAGATCAGGGTGCGGTGGTTGGAACAGAGTCTTGTGTAGCCCAGCCTGGCTTCAGACTTACTGTGTGGTTGAGAATGATCTTGAACACCTGCCTGCTCTTGCACGCTGGGATTGCAGGTGTTCACCATCGTGCTCAGCTTTGGCGTGTGTGTGTGTGTGTGTGAGAGAGAGAGAGAGAGATGGTGTGTGAGAG